GCGACATATGTCTTCTTTCGATCTTGATACGATGGATAAAGGGGACCCAGTGTTTCAAATGATGCGATTAATAAATCCACAGTGATATTCAGTGAATCTCCTGTTGTCGCACCCTTGAGACGTCACATTTTCCAATATCTTCCCACTTTTTCGAAAACCCGAACCTGGTGTATGCGTAATAATTTAGTTTCTGACCATACAATGTCGCGCTCCTCAATATGTCGCAGTTCCTGATATCCACTCACTTGGTCGCTGACCGAAGCTCTGGATGAGCATTGATTATCCACCCTGAAATGTCGCACTCAGCCAATGGCATTTCACCTAGTGTGACACATTCATGTTCACCGATTGGATAATCCTTGCGAGGAAGACACACCGTTGCAAGTGATCGGAGACAGTGTCATTTAACGTCCAAATGTGCAAGCACCTATCGATCAGAGAGAAGCAGAATATGTTGGAAATGCCGAATCAGTCAGGTGCAACTCAGAGCTCCGTAGCCAAATCACTTAGAATTTCAACAAAAACCGTCTAAAATATCATATCCCATCGAACGACTATCGGGAAATTTATGAACGCTGGTGCATCTGAGGGAAGATGCCACCTGAAAACCAACGAAAAGTTCAAAACAATGAATGAGGCGACCTTGGCTTAGTTTACAGCACAGAGAGTTCCCAATAGTGGAGAGCATTGAATGTAAGAAGGCAATCCAGCTAACTCAAAGGTTGTATCAGAATAACTTCAAGACTTCCAAAAGTTGGTTTTGTTCTTTGTCCGACTGGCATGGTTTTAAATCGTACATCGTAAGAAACAAGCAACTCATGTGCGTTACTTTATAGGTCTGTAGTTTAGCGGTACCACGTGATGCAATGGACGTGTTTCGAGTGGGGTTACCGCAGTTGATCCGATGGATATTTTCAATACAGATGTCAAAAGCTTTGTATAACAGGCAACTCGCATAAAGAAAATTAAGAATCAAAGGAAAGACAATTTGCGGATCCAGGAAATCTAAAGAGAGGGTCACGTTACTGCTTTGTGGGAGCATGACTGGAGAAAAGTTATCACCGTTGGTGATTGGAATGTTTCAAACTCCTCGATGCCTCCGAGTTATGGATAGAAAAAGCCCTCCATACAGTTATAACTTTTCAAACAACGCGTCAATGACTTCTGTGTTGTTGCACAGCTTGCTGTCCGATACCAACCGCAAAATGGTCTCTCAAAGGCGCCCTATTTTACTATTTATGGATAACGCCCCTTGCCATAACAAAGGGAGCAGCCTCCGAACTGTTCTTAAGTGTTACAGCCAATGTATCATGGAGTGATTTGGTCTTTCAAGTGTTCGTTTGGACAAAATTCACTGAACTCTGTTTTGTCTTTGATCGAAGATGAGCAACTTATCATGAAAGCCTAGGTGAACATTCTCATGGCTATGCATCTGGTCAAGAAAGCCTGGGTGTCTGTGCATCCGCACGTACTGATCAATGCTTTTATGTCAGCTTTGTTCAAATTCACATTGATTCAACCGTTTATACAGCCATCGGAGGATAAATGCGATCCGACTGAAAACTTTACTCATCATGTATCTTTGATGAACGTCTTTTTGAAGAAACCGCTTGTTTGGAATTTGATGAAGAAGCGGTTTATTTAAATTTTTGTCTCAAGTCTGTTTTCAGTCATTAGATGAATTCGTTTCGAATCAGGCTGAGTGTCGCAATGAAAAAGATGAATGCGAAGCATTGAATGCGTCGGAAATTATCTTATTCAGAGAGGCGCAGAAGTTATTGAATCAATTGAAGGTGTTTGCCTTGGCTAATTTTCGGAGTTCGGGTCGATTATTGAAGTGTACAATAGATTCAAACAGCGCGTTTGTTGATTTCCAAAGGAGAGCCAAGCTGCGAAAAACGACGTTTTATGATTTTACTAAAAATACATGTTTGTAATCTGCAAAGTTTTTTTCCAATTCTGCGGGACACTCGAATATATTCATTTATGTTATGGGCTGGCAAAAGACAGAAACAGAACCGACGAACGAAAGTGCATGGTTAATTTTGGTCAAAACTGAAACTGAAAACTGGTCACCAAAGGGACGGCTATTCGGTTTATCGATGGGCTCTATCGCACTATCGTGCAAACGGGTGAATGTTAATCGCGACTGACTGGCAAGCGGGTGAGTGGAGTGAGATGTCAGATCAGAGCGATCGATAAACACCATCGCGTGGATGCGCCGGTGTGAATGGATGAACGGTACCCGCACTTGTCCTTTCAATACTATTGTAATTACGACACCAATCCCGAAAGTCTGCCAACTAGGAGTAAATGGGTGTCACTATCCTCGCACGAGGATAGGGCTGCTTCCATAATTAAATCTTTAACAAAGTTAAATAGAAACGGAGAGCGAAAGGGCAGCCCTGATGAACACCACTTCCTGCGCTGAACTAAGGCGAAAAAGTGTTATACGTTCGGACTTGGCCTCGGCTATTAGTATAAAGGGATTGTAATATTGAAATAAGCTTATCGAACACAACCTTCAGCGAAACGCAACGCCAGAATTTAGCGCGGTGGACTGGGTCGAAAGCCGCTTTCACATCGAGGAAGATAGAAATGGTAGACCTACGAAAGGGATGTCAGTGCTCCAGAGTTTAGCGAAGAGTGAAGATGTGATCGATACAGCCTTGACCAGGTCTAAAACCAGCCTGGTTCTCACGCGTGCACCGTTCACGTGAGGCAGACAATCGACGGAGTATGATCCTAGCTAGAATTTTAGAGACGATTTTGGTCAAACTAATTCCTCTGTCGTTTTCACAAGAGGACCTGTCGCATTTCTTGTAAATCGGTATGATCACCGATTCACACCATTCAGCTGGAACCTCTTTCCTTTCCTGTATTGAGCCCAGTAGGTTTGTCAACTCCAAGACGAACTCTTCGCGTCCATCCTTAAATGCCGGTGGGAACAGCCCGAGGTAATATGCCCTTTTAGATAACTTATTTCCCGGGAAACCTCCATTTCATATGGGGGGTTGATTTCAACTGGCACTATCTGAACAGTCGAGGGTGGAGGTGATATGTCAGGTGTCGGAGGGGCTAGTTGAACTGAGCCTCGAATTGTTCAGCCGATCGATCAAGACGGCGTTACTGATGGTGAATCTGTGTGCCATCGGATTCCTTAATTACCTCTCGCCAGTTTTCTGGGGGCCGGTATTCCTAATAAAATGGAAAAGATTGCGATTAATACCAATACCCGCAGCTGTTTTTCATTTTTTTCTCCATCTCTTTATACTTTCCTATCTGCCACTTCTCTTGATCATTCTTCAGACTCTTGATGAGTGGGCGTTTGAGGGATTTGCGCGATGTGTCATATGTGGCATCAGTAGGAAGTGTTCTACGGGCCGCAAACTAACCCGTGGTCGGATTTAAGAGGAGTGCTCCAGTACGATCGGCAGTCTTTTTATGCAACCCAGCCAGTTGTTGCTTATAGCGATGTGGTC